TCTTTCGTTGCTAGTTCAGGGAGTCCAGGTGGTTGAGTATCAGAGTGTTCCATCTCGTTTCCCTTTGGGGTTGCTGTAGGTGATCTGCCAGTCTGGTTCTGTGGCTTGTTTACCTGTCTTCTCATTTTGATACATGGGGGGGGGGTAGGGTGGGTCTGTGTTCCTGGCGCCCACGCAGCTCACCTCCTCTGGGCTCGGAGCCATTGCATGCCTATCCGGAAGCTTCCTCTATGCTGGGAGCCGTAGCACGCCTACCCAGAAGCTTCCTGCTACCTGCGAGCCGTGGTGCACCGGTCTGGAAGTCTCCTCTGGGCTCGGAGCCGTGGCACGCCTACCTCTCACTCTTGCTCTACCAGGAAAAGCTTACAAATCTTTAATATTTAGCATGATGTTTGCCACAGGTACTTTTTATCAGATTAAGGAGGCTCACTCCTATATCAGATTTGTTTTATTGTTGCTCCTGTGTAAATCATAAATGAATTTTGAATATTAGCACATATTTTATGTGATTCTATTGAACTATCATGATTTCTTTCCTTTAGTATGTTAACATAGTGAATATAGTATTTCTAGAATGTTTCCACTTTACATTTACCACAGTAGTACCTTTCTAGTGAACAAAATGGAAGAAATTCTATATTTATTCTTAAATTTCCCTAACAAAATTCAGTATGTACTTATGTCTCAAATACTGCTCACACTGTAAAATGAAGGAGTCTAGTTAAAGATTCTAAATCAATGCTATGGTACTTTAAACAAATGTAAGTGTTAATCTAAAATGGTTGACATAAAAACTGAATTGCCAGGAAGGCTTAGCAGTTTTGTCCAGAGACAATTTAAGCAGTGCACTGGGGTGTTTACAGAACAGGCATCACTGTTTTAACACATTTGGCATTAGTTGTCATCGTTCTTAATGAGTCCTTCAAAACTTACGAGTTCAAACTGTTATCTAACAAGAATTGGGTTTCAAAAATACTAAAATAGGGGCTGGGGATTTAGTTCAGTGGTACCGTCCCTGCCTCACAAGCACAAGGACCTGAGTTTGATCCCCAGTACCAAAGACAAAACAAAACAAAAAAGCCAAAAAACTAAAAATTTTAAAGGATGAAAAAAAGTATATAAAAAAGTAAGAAAAATACCCAGAGGGTTGTATGGGAAATAAATTAGAATCTCTTTCCCTTCTGGATTTAAAATACAGTGACTTTCCTTTTTAATGAACAGTCATGAAGTATTCAATGTACACATAATAGCTTCTTAGCTATTACAGTTGCTTCTAAGCTAATTATGGGTTGATAGGAATACTTATTTTAAATCTAATTTCAATAAATCTGTCAAAGAAAGACAGGTATTTTACCCACAGCCAGACTTGTGAGAATACAAATATTTTCTCTTTCTTTAGCCATATAGTAAAGGTATGAAATTCCTTTTTAAAATGCCTTTTACCTATACCTTCTTCATTAAAAGTTGATTTATGCTTATGGTTTTACTTCTCTAAGTTTTTCCCATGATACAGGCAACAAAATGAGAATATTCTGGATTTTTATAGTAAGACTTTTTTAGGGAACACCAAAAGATAAATGTTGAACGAATATTTGAAACTTAATTGAACTGGCAGTGGGGAACTTCTGGTTAGATTCCCCACAAATAAACCCTTCACAACACTCCTAATGAGTATCTGGAAAATTCCAAGAATATATGCTATTCATTAAACATTAAATATTATACTCCCCAGAAAGCTACATAAATATATTGCCCTACCAAAGCAAATGAAGCAACATCCCCACAACACAATATAGTTATTTTAACCAATCACCCCATAATATTTAAAAGAAACTTGAAATCCACTGAGGGTCACTTATAATGCACTGTATCAGATACCAACTAGAACAACTAAACTTAGGATATCACAATTTACAGCAAAAAATTGAGGTTCTGATTCATAGTTGTTAATATTAATGGAAAAAAGTATCACAAGTAGACAGTAGATTATTGAAAGATGGAACAAAAAAAGAGATAAAAAAAATCAATACCTTCCTGACAGAGGTATTGCTATAAATTAATTTTCTACATAAGCAGAAATAATTTTCTAAGTTTCCTATAAATATGTAGTATATAGTTATTAAAAAAACATGAACACTTTAAGGATAGTGTGGGTTTTGCAGCTCACACTGAGAAAGGAAAACTCAGAATTATTCCATCAATGCATTCAATAGTCAGATGAAATGGATTTCTTAAAAAAAAAAGGAAATGAATTTTTATATTCTCTTCTCAGTTGTAAAACTAAATCAGGATACTGAATTTCAATGACACAATTTAAAAACAGCTAGATAAATAACAATGCTATTGTTTCTAGTGCTCATGTTGACTAAGCAAAGCAAAAACTACCATCTCTGTTTTCTGACTATGAATCTAAAACTCAGAGTAGAGACAGGACTAGGGAACTTATCTTTCCCACAATTTCTTCACCTTCCTCATCATCATTACAGTAAGCACTGCATGAGTTGTGATAAAAAAAATTAAGGTGAGTATTTAAAAATTTTAAAACATTACAGTGAAAGACACATGCCACTAATCTCCCTCAAAATACTTCTACTCGTTTCCAATACACTTATCCTCTTTCATGAGTGTCTTTAATTGCCCTGTCATGGCTGCCTCAATGTCCTGAATAGATTCAAAATGTTTATCTTTCATGGTTATTTTAATTTGGGGGAAGAGCTAGAAGTCACAGAGTGCCAGATCCTGTGAATGAGGGAGATGAGGACACACTATGATGTTTACAAGCCTACCTTTCTGTTGTTTGGCACTCAGCAGCTGCATTCACCACAATTTTGATCACACCTCGTAAAGACACTGACACAGCTGCAGTTAGAAGGAGGGAGAGTATTCTTCAGGGATTAATGGCAATGTGGCAATGTGTCTTTTACCAGAATAAAATTTTTAAAATTTGGCCACACCTTGTATTAGAGTTCACTGTGTGCCAGACGTTATTTTAAGTACTCTACCTGAATGAAGTCATTTAATCTTCCAAATAGCTCTCTTTGCGTTAGGCCCATTACTATTTCCCTATGTTCCAGAAAATGGAGACACACAAAGGTGAAGTGAGTGGTCAGAAGGTTAGAGCTTAGGAAGCCGATGGGCGAGCCAGCTCTCAAACACAGGCACCTGGTTCTCAATTTTGTGCTCTTAACCCCTTCACACTATGCTGCCTCTCAAATAGCCCAGGCATATTTCTATGAATGCTGTACATTAAAAGTTAATAGATTTCATAAGCATTTATTTTGTTTTTTAAAGAAAATCATAAACATAGAAATATGCTTTAAAAATGAACCTTATATAGGGCCGGGGATTTAGCTCAGTGGCACTGCACCTGCCTTGCAAGCGCAAGGTCTTGAGTTCAATCCCCAGTACCAAAAAAAAAAATTAACCTTATATATAGTAGAAATAGAAAAAAATCTAGACTGTCTTGAGTATATCACAAAATTCAATCTGAAACAAAATGATACAATAGGAAGTAGAAAGTAAATATTCAATAAATCATGAAAGTTGGAACAAATAACTAATGAGTGCCAAAATATTCAAAATGGAAAATAATCGAGAGATGATTAAACTTTTGATGCTTGTATCTGAGTGTAAATCTGTAAAACTGTATTTTGGTGACTCAGGATCATTTCAAATAACATTAGCCATCAACTAATGGACCGAGCTTGAAGGAGCCACCAAGTTGTCCCGTGCCCTCTTAAACCTCAAAGTCCACAGCACTCTGACAGATGAAGCTCCATGCCATCTCACAGAGCCGTCACCTACGGCCAGGCAGCCTCTCAAAACCTTCCTAGTCTAGCTTAGAGTGGGTATTTAAACACTGGGATTGAAACAGCGGCCCACAGGTTCTGAGAAAAAGGTGATGGAAAATAAAATGACAACAGTGTAAACAATTAGTGTTGCAACTTGTCATCTTCAATTATGCCAACAATACTCTACCTGCAAGACATGCTCACTACTGAAATTTAGCAGTATGAGTATGAAATTTAGCAAATTTATAACCAAAGTGCCTTGCTAATTGTAAGTCTAAAACAAAAGATTCCGATTCTTCTTAAACATTTAAAATACTATAGATCACACCAACAACTTATATTTCCAAAATTATACTTTTACTCTTAATATGATGCTAACTCATAGAAAGCAATAATTGACTTTAAAAACACAAACTATCTTCTATAACAACGAAATTCCCTATAACTACAAAAGCTTCTGGAGAGCAGTAAAGCTGAAGGTGCCACCATGTGGAAAATACTGCATAAAGTTGAGTTTCAAAACTTATCTTTCTATTTGCCTAAGGGCGAAGTAAACCGGTCTTGGAAAATACAGCCCTGAAGTTAAGGTAATACAAAGGAAAAACCCAATCTAGATACTGGAGATATTTCTTCATAAGATATCTTAATCAATGATCAAAACAAATATCTCTTCAGAATTCAAATTAAATAATTAGATTCTTTTACCGATTTCAAATAAGGAACTAAATGTCAAAAGTATTAAATCACAAACTAAAATTTAAACTACATAATATTGAATCAGCCCAACTCCAAATTTGAATTTACTAATTAACCAAAATGCATTAAAAAAGAAATATTATACCACCAACTTTGTAGAAGCTGCCCCCCTTTTGAGCTTAAATTGCAATTACTAAAAAAGTTTCAATCTTACGCTTTTATTTGATGTGTGAATATCTGTATTTCCATAAACTGTTCCCATACAGATCACTTTGCCTCCTTTGGTTTGAACATGCAATTTTTGGCTCTGAAAAACAAATATAAAAATACATGTTGAGAAAAAGAATCTTTGACCTATGAAGGACTTTCAATATTTCTCTTTTAATAATAATAAAACAGCAAGAGAAGAGTCAGGAATTAAATAAAAATTCACTGTTTGGAATCGTAACATCAACTGGAAAGAAATGTCAACTGCTGTTAAAGGAATAAATAACCTGTACCGAAGGGAAATACAAGCTATCTGAATATTCTCATAGCTTCACAGAAGGGCTTGGAGTCAAAGACCACTGTGAGCAGCTCTGTAAACACCAACGAAAATGAAGATGACAACACTGATCACTGACACTATTCATAACTATTAATAATAATAATTGTTGTCACTTGGCAGTTTCTCACACCAGAGACAATGTCATCTACTTTACTTGAAACAGATCATCTGATTCTCACCACATCCCAAAGAGACGTTAGCCAAGACTCAGAAATGTTAAATAACTTTATCAAGGTGACATAGTTAGAAAACAACAAAATCTAAACTAACCATTAGAATCTAGCCCTGTATGCTTCCAAAGCCTGCCCTCTGTGTATTTGTTTTTTGAGGTACTGGAGATTGAAGCTAGGCCCTTCACACTGACCTACATCCCCCAGGCCATTTTCTATTTTATTTTGACACAGTGTCTCCTTAAGTCACTAAATTGCCCAGGCTGGGCTCAACCTTGGAATCCTCCTGCCTTAGCCCCGCAGAGTGCTGAGACGATGGGTGCCCCTCACTGTGCCTAGCTCATAGCCTACACTCTGAAGACTGAGGTCTTCTGAAAGAGGACAGATTTACACATAGGCAACAGCCTGTTACACCTTCTAACATGACACACCCAGAAACTAAGACTGAGAATGCCCCAAACACCAAACAGCAGTCACAGGCCAGTCAGCCTCCTCGACAGACTGAAACCTGTGTGTGTGCAACCTGATTTCACACTCCAAGCGCGGCAGACACCACTACTGGGTAACCCATCCTTCCAGAGTGAACAGGTATGCCGGGCCTGTGAGGAGACCGGTTTCCAGTTTCCGATGCTCCCAGGTGCTGCTGTGCTCCTATAAGAGTACAGAAGTGGAGTGCTGTGCACCATCTGCAGCTTGAAGGGAAGGGGCGCCTCCTCTGTCCCAGCCCTCCCCAGGGGAGCACAGCTTACAGCGAGGCTGAGAGATGGCAGAGCACGGAGGTGGCAGGGACCTAGAAGCCCTGCATGGAAGAGAGCCCAAGCTGTGTCTCACCCGGACACAGGTGAGGAACTGTGATTGCACAGGAGCCATGAGATGTCTCGTCTGTTTTTCTAATGTAGCTGACCTTCCCTTCACCATGCACGTCTTCATGCTGCTATAATTACAAGAGATAAAGAACAGGGAAACTGCAGAGGCTGAAAAACAGCCACTTCGAAGAAAGGTCTAACAGGCAGGGAGACGAGCATTGAGAATAACCATGTAGTTCGATCCCCGGTACCAAAAAAAAAAATTACTCCTCAGAATAACCATGTAGTTTCTGGTTGCTTTTCTGAGGGAGGGAAACAGTAAACGTTGAGGCAAAATAGCCCAGGAATCAATTTCAAAAACAGTCTGTGAGAAGAGCAAAATGAATCGCTTTTTTAAAAAACTGTTCTTAAAAGGATTTTAACACAAGCCTAAGTCTGGTTATATTTAATATACTCTTTATTAGGCAAACCATTAAATGTAGAAAACTCTATTTCCAAAGAACTGTTGCTTCAAATCAATTATTCTTAACTGATCTTACATGAATATCTATGAAACTTAGGATATTGCAACCAAATACATGGGTATTTTTTCTAAGGAAACAATCATGAATTTTTTTCAAGAGGCTTGAAAAAATTGAGCTTGAAAAATTTAAAGTTCATCTAATTCCAAAAGATGTGAAAATTTTAAAAATAAATAAGACCAGCCAGTTCCTGCCCATGCCACAGTGAGGTCCCAGGCGTGGGTTGGAGCCCCACCCCCATCTGGCGCTCCGCTTAGCCGCGCAGGGCACCACCAAGACCCAGTTCCACCCCGCTCCCGCCCTCGGGCTCTTCTGCTACCTGGTCCCACACTACAGAGGCACAGGGGATTATACTACACATAGTTAAATGTGATAGATTAGTAACTACCACAAAGTGTCATTTTCTAAGCTGCGCTTGATGCTATGGTGTTGCTGATTGTATCACTTGGACTAACATGTTGTGATTGATCTAATCAGTTTTCCTTCCTGGTATAAGGAAAATAAAATGGCCTCAGAGTCATTAGAGCCTCAAAACCTAAACACAA